TTATTTCCCAATCCAATGAAAGTCCAGATTCACCTTTGATAGTGGCTGAGTGTGCCCTAGAAAGGTCACTCAATCACAACTTCTAACCAAGAATGATACGAAAAATTAACTTTTCGGTCAGGGCGGGAGAAAAGAACTTGGGTCTCCATCCGTTACGTATTGACCTATCCCAGTCCTCAAAATCGACAGGAAAGTGTTATTTACATTTTAATTTGTTGACATAGCTACTTTCGTGTGTAATTTGCGGAACATATATCGATTAACTTTCCCCCACCTTAACTAAGGGACAGTTACTATAATCAAATTCATTACTACGAGAACTTACTAAAATAATACGGGCGATAGATAGATCCGACTGGGCCAATAAGAGTCATTATATCATTAGCAGACTTTTTCCTGTCTCTAGGTTATAATTTTAGGTCGTTATTATTTTATAGGCCGCGTATTATACGTTTGCCTCCAAATTCGTAGCAGTATTAGTAAAACAAACATATTACAAAGGAAATAATTGATTTTTTTTTTTAAATATCGTTTATATCACAACGAGGAAAAGCACTGGAATGATAATTTTCTAGATCAACAGATTTTATTCAATTAATTTCAACTCATTGATGTAATTCATTCCTTTTTCTTTTTATTTAGTTTTAGTGAATTTTTTAAACAATGTTAACTTCAATATTGCCATGAATATCCTAAGATTTTTGCAAACTTCTAATATATTCTAATTCTAATATATTATTATTTTTTTAATAACCAATCTTTCACGATGTATAGCGCTTTAAAAAAAATAGAGAATATTATAAAATAATTGAAATTAATGCTCTATTATCTAAAGGAAAAAAAAAATTATAAAAATGAAAATACATACACGTTTGTAATAGTGATAGTTTAATGTAGTATATTAATGATATTTTTTAAGATAAGTGATAAAAAAACGGCAGGAAAAAAATATATATGTATAATAATAAAATAACATGATGTAAGTGCTATGGCCAAATGAGATCGATAAGTATGTTGTGTATAAAGCAAATCTATGTATTTTATTTTAGTATTTTTTCTTCCTCAATGCTCCTTTCTTCCTCAATGCTCCTTACTTTGTTACAAATAAAATTATCCATAATGACTTTAATGTTCCTTATGTATCAGATTTGGCCCAATCCAGATATCTGTCCTTCCATAATAAACTTCATAATCATCCCAACCCTCTTGTCTCTAACCTTGCTTCCTATTCGATTCCTGATAACCCTCCGAGGCGTCTGAAAAGAAGATGGCCACGTGATCTTCTAATATAGACATATTATTAGAGTGCTACCAATGGGTAGTTTCTCAACATGTGTTCCATGTCTTTATACCAATGTGCGAATTTACCAGATGTATTTTTTGTATACAGTTGTAAATATCATTTAAAATAAATAAATAAAAAAAAAAGTATTTTTTCTTCGTTTTAAAGAGAAAACGTCTTCAGGCGAGTTTTGCACTTTTTTGTGGAGAGTGAATTAGATTGAGCCGTCAGATTTTACTTAGTGTTAAGGCTCGGGCAAAGTCGACTAATTGAAATGTTTTTGCATATGGATTAAAATATCCTGCCTAAAAGCCTGCACACTTTAAGCGAGAAAATTGCTCAGCATTTTATACCCTCGGTAATAGGCTATAATTCAAAAGTGTATCTTTACGCGACCACCGTGTTAGGGAGGCGAAAAGGAAAAAAATAGTGTCGACAACCTACAAAAAAAAAGAAAGAAAGTAATGAGCAATTATTCAAAATTGTATCTTAATCCAAAACCGTGTTAGAGAGTAAGTGAGAGAAAATGATAGTTTCCAAAACCAAATTATAACGAGTTTTATTAAAGATATGGATAAAAATATCTCAGAAACTGAAAATCGAACATGCGCACTGTAAGCGAGAGAAATGTTCAGCATTTCATTCTCTCTACAATGAGCCATTTATAATTTATATTTCATATTATTAATCTCGCCTTGATGTTTCACTTCTACCTTGCGGTCTAAAGCACAAAACTTAGTTTTTATTTCTGTGGTTCAGAGGTTAAACAACAGTTAACCATAGTAATAAAAGTAGTTACAGAATATTATTGTAAATCTCTGAAAGAGCAGTAAATAATTAAGAAATTAACGTTTCGCCAGTTGAGGCATCACTAGGATTGAAAATTTAAATATGAATAATTATGGACCAGAAACACCTTATATCTAACTAACACTGGTTTGGTAGATTAAAAAATTTCGATTATCAATATTCGGTAAGCGCAGGGATAAACTTTTTAGCCATATTGGAGTCGACTCAAAAGAAGACAGCTCTTCGTTTATAAAAAAAAAAAATGAAAAAAAAATTGCGATGGTCATATGTGTTGGAAATACTGCATATTTGTATATTAATTTTAAGAATTGTCTAATAATGATTGGTAAGTATGCTCTGTAGCAACCCAGTATAATTGGGCAGCACCTTTTTATGAAAATAAAGTGATTCTCTCTATTTGGAATGGAAGTATTTTTTTCTCCCAAAATATATCTGAATTTCGTGGAATTATTTTAATTTATTTAGTCACTCAGAACATGGTTTGTACACCCCATTTTAAATCCGCCGTGCAAAGCTGTTTAATATAATATTTTTGGATAAATATTGTACATTATTTATTTTCAAAATTAATAATTTCAAAAAGAATATTAATTGTTACGTCACTTATTGACTGAACGTTTTCATAATCCATAAAAACAAATTACTAATTATGTTTTGAAAAATAGTCTAAATCCAGCTAATCTATTTATATTCATCAATAATTTTAAATTAAAAAGTATATTTATATTCAAAATAAAAAAACAAAACAGTAACTAGTATATATATATATATATGGATTCTGATCGATCCAATTATATTTTAAACCAGAAAACGAATAGTCCTATTTAAATTATTTTTTTTTTTTGGTTTTCATAATTAAAAGAAACTTTCTTGGTCAAGAAAGTTGACAAGTAATACTCGCCTTTCTAGTACTTTCTCGGACCAATTAGCCCATCACTGGTTGATTAGTTCATTAGATCATTTACTAATGATCACGATCATAACATGATTTTGAGGAGGCAAATCACGTTCTGGCAAGAACATGATTGCTGATAACTATAATAAATGATAAAAAAAATATTATGTATATAAAACAATGAATATGAGTATAGACAGTAAGTAGATAGTAACAGATAGTAACTGTGACGAAGTAACGGTTAGTGGAGTCATAAAGTGACGGAGACCTTGGCAGCCTAGAGCAATAAAGGTGTCACAGCTGAGTCCTCTTTATTTCCACGTTACAATGTCAATATTAGTGTTGTGTCTTCCTTTAGTTAGCTCATAAACGATTTATTGCTAGATAAATAAAGTCATCAGGAATACTTAGCCGGAAGATTAACTGTCGGTATTGTGTATAACCCAATCAAATTAGACATGTTGCCTTGCAAAAGGTCGGGTAATTCAAATTTATTTTTTATATCCTTAGGTATGTATTGAATATAAAAAATCCAAGTTTTCGCCCTCGAAATCCTTATGAGTTCGCTGCAGTGCCCAAAAACTATTGAAATTTGGAACTTTTTTGGTTTCCACTAAATATATCCTTTTTAGAGCAACATAGATAAAAAAATGGTTATATTCAATCTTAAGCAGCTTAAAATTATCTAACATTTTTTTCTAAATCCAATAGGAAACTAAGTATCGAGCTTTCAAGATTTACCCATTTCGATTTCTTCACAATAGTGCTCTTTCAATTTTGAATGGAAGAATTCTGTATTCCATTTTGAACCTTGTTCAGAAAATTGGGAGGTTTTCCTTAAAGATAATGAGCCATTGGATTGTAACGGTAGACGTAAAAAATAGAACTGTTTTACTTTTATTTTCATTTAAAAAATATTATTTTTGAAGACGGAAAAGTAACATTTGTCGGAGCCATATCCAATGTTGTTTTCTAAATTAGTTATTGATATATTTTTTTATTTAGGAGTTTCTTCGATATGAAGTTTTCCTCAACCAAACTCCTTCTTTTTGGGGCAGAGCAAGTCCCTCCATCTCTGCCGGTCCATCATACTCTCCACTGATCAGCCACTAGCGGATCTAGGATTTGATTTTGGGGAGGGGGCTTCAGCCCGAAAGTTTTTTTTCCATAAAAATAACGATAATTACTTTGGAAAAAAAAGAAGGAAACTAACTACCTGTATGAAATGGTGTTTAAGTGATTCCTAAAGCCCTTTTAAATGTAATTACACGAACAATAATACTTTAAGAGATATCCTTTAAATATTTTTTTTTCGATAAAACATGGTTATATTTTACCATTTTGGGAGGGCTTCAGCCCGAAAGCCCCCCCGTAGATCCGCCCATGCGACCAGCCATACTCGCCACCATTCTATCCTTCCATCTAACTGGTGTTCTTCCTCTCCTTCTTTATTGAGATATCTGTTAAATTTAATATATAATTTTTATTGAATCAGATTAGAATATTTTAATTTTTTAACTGTATACATTTACTACTGTCATTATTTTGAGTTCTGACTTGAACTATGTGATGGTTTTAATAAAATTATGAATTAGCAGTTCGCAGTCCATGATCGTATTATCATGTTTCGTAATAACCAGAGAGAAGAGGAGGAATATATCGATACATTGGAGGGGATGGTAGACTTGTGTTTGACGGACGGAAGACTTGAACGCTCGTACAGGAAAGCAGCCGTCTTTCCATCGACTTCTATACTGAATCGATTCCAATACATGTTGAACATTAATAAATAGCTGGTTCGTTGAGGGCATGATGGATTCCCCCTAGTGCTTAATATCCTGTTGGACAACCTCTTCCATCAACCGCTAAGAGAGATAAACTTGTGGCCGACATGGACTATTACAAGAAGCTATACAATGTCTGCTTCGCATTAAATTAGCAATCTACTGGCTTCTGCTCTATTAGCGCCTTTAGATTGGATCGCAATCGAATGAGCTTTCCATCGATAACTGCTCAATGTCGTTCGATTAGGTACGTCTCAACGGATGGCTGAGTGAGACATCTCAGCTCATAAGTTATGGGCTCTCTGTAACTTCTGGATCCGTTAGATCTTCTGAGCACCTTCATGTAAATGTTGATGTTTTGAAGATCTAACAAGTCGACGGTGCTAATGTAGTATGTTGTAAGCGCTAAAACGACGAAATATTGAGATTTTATTAAAAAGGATCAGAAAATGATAGGTCTTGCATCTGAAGCTTGGTTAATAAATATCGATTTTAAAATGTATAGACCTTGTTGAAAAAATCCGATACCTGGACAAACGTCTAACGTGGAATCCTCATAACAGACTGAATCGACAAAAAACCGCACGAACTTTCCTGCTTTCAGCACTTATTGACAAACGATCTAAGCAACCAATTAATTAGAAAAGATGACTATATAAGGCCTATTTGTATATATGGAGTTGAGCTTTGGGACTCCACTAAACTGTCGAATTCCTCTCGTATCCAATCTTTACATTCTAAAATTCTTCCTAAAAATCTCTATGCTCCTTATTTTGTTACAAATAAAATCATCCATAGCTACCTTATTGTTCCATATGTTTCCGATTTAGCCGAATCCAGATAGCTATCTTTCCATAATAAACTGTAAGACCATCGCAATTCTCTCGTTTATAATCTTTCTTTCACTTCAATCCCTAATATCTCCCTGAGGCGGGTGAAAAGAAGATGGCCTCGTGGTCTCCTAATTTAGAAATCTTATTGGAGTGCTACCAATTGGTAGTTTCTCTACAAGTCTTTTCATGCCATTTTATTTTTCTATATCACATTTACTGGATGTATATTTATTTTTATACATTTGTAAATTGCATCAATATTAATAATGAAAAAAATTATCGATTTTTTCCCCTCTAGAATAATGAGAGATGAAAATAACCTTCACTACAAATCTCGATTTAATCGTTTTGGTAATGATGTGTTAGAAATATACATTCGTTTTGACAGGATTTGTCTAGGTCCAGTTGGCTGATTCCTGGATTCGATTACGCTGTAAATACATTATATAATCGATATAAATATATGTCGATGTATAGCTGTCGATGAATAAGGATATATATAGTGGCAGCACTTCAGGAAATGGCGGGAGAAACGAACCGGTCCCCATTCCAAGGTCGATTCGCGCCGTCAATCTTGTGCTCACCCTTCCACTACATAAATATATGTTACCATATTTATCTAATATGTTACTATATGTCTCCCTGCGATATACATATATATTACCGCAACTAGCACAACGGTCCTTCGCCTGACTTGACGCCATCTTTATCGAATGGTCATTCAATCCAGTTCTCCCTCAGAGATATTATATTGCCACTTTATGCATATCCGGTATTCGTGGGCGGGGTATCAGCTTTCTTATTTTTATTTTGAAATTCGACCTCTTCATTCCTTCAAAATACACCCCCGAAAATATCTACCCCGCATCTCTTTCAATATGATAAATAAAGATTTGCTTACATCTTCATTAAATTTAAAATATATTAAAAGAAATTTCTTTACGTTGTTATTTTTATATTAGTTACCATGGGCAGTAATGTTTCTTCTGACTCACGAATGGAAATTTTAATTTTAATTTAATTTCAATATTACATAAATTTAAATTTTGAACCTTTTGAAATGATTTTTACTTTCAACTATGATTTATTATTTTATCACTTCGACATCTATGTTAGTTTAATTACTGAAAAATATATGAAAACACAACTAATATAATTATTGATAAATTAGCAGATATTTAAAAAAAAAAGAGAGAAATTTAAAAGATTTAATGGACATGCCTCCAATAACTGGACTTGACTTGATTCAACCCACGCAACCTCTTCGACTCGTATTTTACATTCTGTGTCGGTGTAATATAATCACTGATATCAGATCGGATAGTAACAGCTAGATCAATTATACTAATTATCTAAATTAAATATTGTCAGGAAACATTAAATTCTTTGATTTTTTAAAATTTAATTTATTAATATATATATCATATAGCAATTTCCCCTTTCCCAATCACACACACATATATACATATGTATATGTATATATTTTTAAATTGTATAGTAAATTGTTTTTTTTATTAAATATACTATGGATAATCGCAGAGGGTCATTCTTCAATATCTTTTCTTACTTTTTTTTTGCTAATTTATTTTTATTTATTATTATTGCTAATTATTATCGAATACAAGTTTAAGACAATCATTAACTTTTACTATTTATAAATTTATCTTTACTCATATTCATGTAGGCGATTCCATATATACATTTTTGTTCTCCTACTATAATCTCACATTTTGTATTGATTTGGAACTTTTTTTTAGAATTTTAGAATAATTTTCATAGAAAATAAGTAGTATGTAAGATAGTAAAGTAGACATATTGCCATTTTATATTTTGATAATTTATCAGGATATAAGACTCCATCAAATGTATTATTATAAGGACATCAACGTCTTCTTAAAAATACCATTGACTATTTTTTTTTCCAAAACTGGAATTATGCCTATAATTTTTTCCCCATCTTAATAATAGATAAACTGAGTCGTTTATTTCTAAAGTGTACCCTAATCTTTATTGACTAATTTTCGGGAAATGTAAAAACTATTTATTTTTATTGTAATATCAAAAACCAATAAAGAAATATCAATGTCAAAACCAAATAAAAAAAAATTAGATTGTTTATTTGTAGCTCATATTTTCGAAAACAATTGATTTTTGTAATATGTCCTCCTTTGGAATGAGTTAAACTTTAAGCCTCGTTTTAGAACAAAAACGGTTGATTGGGGTTCGATTGTACTATAAAACATTTGAATTTTTGTTTAAAATAATGGTACCATGGAATAAAGTTGTTTTAATTTTCATTCGAATAAAAATATTAAAAAAGCTATTAGTTTGTTAGTATAATAAATTCCTTGAAAAAAAAAAATCATTTTCACTTTTTTTGTTATACTTTAGTTAGATTTAAAAAAATATATATATTTCCATCATAGGATACATTGGATGTTTTACATTGTCATTAATACTTACATTGATACTAGATTAAAAAAAAAATAGCAATTCAATTGTTTTTGGCATTAAGATTTTAAACAAAATCCTTTTTTTATTAAATGATGTATTACTTATTGAAATATTTTATAGTATATATTATTCTGATGTATTGCAATCGTTAGGGATGATACAATACTCAAACGGGAGACTTACACAGACATCTACATACACACGTAATGTATACAGACATAGACAGACAGATAAAGATATGCGACTGTAGACAAGACAATACGACCGTTACCGGTTAACGATCCTGGCTCGAGTTTGATTTAAACTAATTGATGACTTCTGTTAGGACTCGTCTCATTATTTCTACCGACCTTCTAATGGCGAAATTTTACCGGTTCCTTTTCTTCTTTTTTTTTTTTTATTTATATTACCTCTCTGCTCTTGTAAATCTCTTTGGATCAAGTAATAACCATCACGTTTATGAGTTAGAAAAACAAATAAATATTAAAATGAGTAGACAATATAATTTATTGCCTACGCTTGATCTCTTCATTAAGATCTTTTCCATTTGTTATTCTCAACTACATGAGAAAGAAGAAATATTTTATTAGATACTGGCAACATGCAGCATGTAGGTAAAGGGATATGTTTGAGCATATGATAGTAGATTTTAAGAATCATAAAAAAGTATATAAATTATTATCCGATTTTCAGTAGAAAAGTAGCGAATTTAAGTCGTGTTTAAAAAAAAAAATATGTGATTTGGTATTCTGCCACCCAAAAGTACTTGTATTTTCAGGAAAAATTACAAAAATGAATTGTTGCAGTGATTTAATTTTGTTCACATGATCTATAAGGATCACTATTTATTTATATTAAAAAAATACTAATTTATAATGTTTATCATCTAATTTATAATCAGATCTCTATTATGTGAACTGAACCTTACTGTATTAAGCAGTAAAAAAAAATATTCGTGATCCTAATATTTTCGTTTTCATGTAAATAATTTTAGCTTACTATGAAAATATCCTTAAGTTGTTTTGACAAAGAAAAATTATACTTGGATTTAAGAAGAAAAATAATTTAGAGAGAGAACGTCATTACAAAAATGCTGTTTTAGAATGCTGTACTTGAAAAAAAATTCTAATTTCAATCATTAATTTTTTTTTTTAAACTTATTTGTTCAGAATTATTACAATCTGTCACAATTAAGGGCATTTATAATAGTGTTCAGAGAGCACATTCACCATTAATTAATTGATAATATAAAATAAATAACATTAAATATAATAAATAATATAGTATAATATAAATTTTATTCATTAATATTTTTTATATATTTTTGGTTTATTATTTTCAATAATGAATCATTGTGATCGACCAAAGAATTCGAAAAATGAATAAAAATTTTTATGAATAAAAGTTATTAAAATTAATAACTACTGAACCAATTTTTTTTTTTAAATTTCGATATAAAATCAGAGGTCACCCGAGGATGATCCTCCTTTATCAATATTAATATTCGCCTTTTACTAAAAATGGCGGCCGAAAAACCTGCATTGCTATAGACTGTAGCGCCTAAACGATTTTACCGATTTCAATGAAACTTCGTTAAGGTCGTTTTCTCGACGCCCTTTAAATTTATCTATATAACATACTTCAACGAAAAGACGCTGGAAAAAAAGTTACGAGGGATGATAAAATTAAATTCCGAATAACTCAAAAAGTATACACTTGTGGTTTTTCAAAAGTTTACGGAATTTTCTAAAAAAAGTCCGTTAAAATCGGACAATTAGGAGCAAAGATATGGTCTCAAGTTTTTTTTATATGTTCTACCGCAAACGTTATATCCTTTGTTTTGGTTTTTTGAATTTGGAATGTGTTACTGAAGCCATGCTACTTTTTTTTAGCATATTACTAATGATTAAAAAAAATGTTTAGTCCAATAATTGGAATCACCTTTTGTTTATTATTGTTTATAACTAGGAAGGTAATGTTACTTTAGAGGTATAATTGCTTGGAAATAATAAACCGTTGTAAATAATCTGCTGTGTTATTGATTTTATTAAATTTTAATTTATTTTTTAATTTGTTTCAGGTTAGTGGAAATAAGATTTGCATGGATGACTTTGTTAAGGTTGGTTATATTTTATATTAAAGAGATGTATCGATCTCAAATAGTTATTTTTTTAAAAATATTTTAGAACTGATAACCAACGATGTTTTTATATTTATCGATTTATTTTGTAAAAGATTTTCTCTTAGTGATTGGATCGATCGATGGCATCGATGACTTCTTCAGTATGGCTTGAGAGGGCTTTAAGAACGTCTTGATAAGGGCTATAACTTTATTAAGCCTACTTTAGCTACAGTTAGATTTCAATATTCCCCATCTGGAGGAGTGTGGAAGACTCTGTCCATAAATATTGTTCTAATCTAGGAAGAGACGGGTATATATTACCATCCCATGGTCCGAGGTCTTCAACCTGCCGGATTAGCAAGAATTTATTCGATCTATCCCTTAGATCTTCCTCTTCATCCGTTGTCTTCTTATGGCGTTTATCTATATTCTCTTATCGGATTGTTGAAGAGCCATCGTCAATAAGAAAATAATTTTTGCATTTTAGCAGTAATAAATGCCGTATTATCCATAAGAATATTAATGCCAATATAGTTGATTTTCTCAACTTCTAGCCATGATTAAAATAATTCTTATTAGACTGTAAAAACAAGAAATGTAAAACTAGGCTTAGCGTAAATTATCAATATGTGACAGCTTTATTTATTATGCCTCGTTGCATGTTCATAATTTACATTTTTAAAAATGCATTTCTAGCTTATGCAAAACTGCAATTCCTTGTGCAATTCTGACGTAATTAACCTATGATTGTGAGAGAATCTGTTTTAATGGAGATGGGATTTTCCTGGAAGCAATATGATTCATCGATGATTTTTTTTGTGTTGTAGATTCCGGATAGGCGAGCTCTATAAAAATGACTGTGTAAAAGAAAAAAAAAATAGAAATATATTTTGAAGATTATACGGAGAAAATGACTTCTTATTTCCTATCTTTTTGTCTATATTTCTGAGAAAAAAAAAAATATATTTAAGGCCCCCAATGGTTCTATGGTAGCAATAAAAAAAAATTATACAAACCGTTTATGTTGCGAACCTATCGGAGGAGCCACAAACATTTCCGTTCTCAAAAATCAAAATAATTAATTTGGGAGCCAAACTTACCAAGACAGTAGATAAATACACTACAGTGATCTTTAGGAATCTCAGAGGGGGTTCCCAATCATTCTACGGCTATGAAACAGTAAAAAACATTTATAATGATGTAGAGATGGTTGACTGTGATATAATATGGGAAGGAGTTGGTCGGGAGATGCGGTCAAATAAATACTCAATTTTCAAATAGTATTTTTAATTGTTACGCCGACGTTTCGGCTCACTTTGTAGTTCATCATCAGGGCTTGGCATCATCGTGCCGGAGTAGTCTTTTAAATCTCCGCCCACACCCGCTGGCACGGGAAAACCTCGTATAGCCTTAAATGCTAGGAAGGGGAGGAACAAAAAAAAAAAAAAAACTCATATAAATGTTCGATGGACCAACTCCTAATAAAATATTTATATTGGGGTTCCATCGGAGAGGAGAGGGAGCCCAAAACTTTGTGGAAATATATGAAAACGAACCATTATTTCTGGGGTACTGGAAAAATATAGAACAAGGTTTTTGAACGAAAACATATAGAATAATGACTTTTGATCCCCTCTCTGGGGGCCCTCGAATTATCACTTCCTATTCAATAAATATAATTTAAAAAAAAAAACATAAATTTCCTGGTTTGCAGTGAGAAATCGTATAGTTTATATAGAGTTTTTCCAAGTATTGAGCTCTACTATTAGCTCTGTAAATATTTTTTAGGTACTTATCTTTATATATTTCGGGTATCTGTCTATTATCTGTTGGATTTTGTACTATATTTGTAAACTCCCAAAAAAGCTTTAGTTATTGTTTATAACGAAAAATCTGTAGCCAGTAAGTTGAATTCCACCTCAACCAGTAAGGGATAGAAACCTGACAGCTCGCACATCTCATTATCGTCCAAGGCTGCGGAGGATTGTATTCTGGCAGTTAGCGCCGATGGAAAAGGAACTGGCCGCAATCCTGTAATTATTCTACCTCGTTCCAAGACATACTGTTCCTATTTGCTCGGTAACGAGGAGGTTCAAGGCGTATTCCATCATCAGGCGTGCGAAGGCTACCCGGGAGTATCTTAATATAGACCCTGATGGAATATCGCTCCTGATGGCCCCGGCTAATTACCCGAAAGGATACCGTTCGATGGGCTTGAACAAAACAAAATAATATTTATGTAAGGAGAAGGCTGTGAGAGTCAGCCCTAGGGAAATAATTTTTTTTTTTTTTTAAACCGAACGTTCGGTCAAAGAGTTCGCGTGCCACTGCTAAACGGTCCGCAATCACAAGTTCCCACCTCGGCTTATCAATTAGCTACTGTCTGATCCTTGCTCTCCTTAGGCCTAGTATACAATGCAATGCAAAAAATAAATGAATAATTTATAGTTTATATTAAAATAAAAAAAAATAAATAAAAAAATTTAGTTATGATTTATGAATTCCATATCTCATAAGAGGGCAAAGACCGTAAACTAGACTCTAGTAGAAATGCACTACTAAGCATTTCTCAAATCAAACTAATCATAGGGTACTTGAAGATGCAGTTGGTAAAAAAAAAGAAGATAATTTTCCATTTTGACCTTTATTTTATATATTTATAGACGTATTTATATTCTAATACATTTCTTCTCGTAATTTTTAATATTTAAATTGTACTTGCTAACTTTTCTTCTTTTAATATTAATTCTGTTTTTTAAACTGTATTTTTAGATTATATTCCTGAAATCATTAACCTTTTATTTAAATGTCCTTGTTAACTGTTAACTTATCTTTCTCTAATCTTTAATGTTTCATTTTAATGGTTCTTGTACTTTCTAATATTTAAACTGTATTCTTTAACTTCCCCTCTATTAGTATTAATTTTTATTATTTAAAAATGTATTTTTTAGCTTTTATTCTTAATATCATTAATCTTTATTGTCTCTGTTATCTCATCTTCTATTAAATCTTTAAGTTTCAATTTTTATAATTTTAGTTCGATTGTACTATCATAATCATCTGTAATTATTCTTAACTTTTCAAACTTTAAATTGTATTTCTTAGCTATAGTTGAGTTATGTGTGTAGTAATCAAATTGTAATATAGGGCGAAAATGACCCAAGTGGTTGAAGAGCCCAAAACATGTATAAATAAATAAATAAAAATATTCTAGTACAGTTCTACATATCACGAACAAAGAAATAAAAATAAAATGAAATAAGAGTTAAATTGAAAATCAATCACGCTAAAAACCTAACAATAGTGAAGTAAATGAGGATGAATTGATTTTAATCATTCATGCTACATTTTAATCCTAGACCTTAAGGCATACACTTAAGTGTGAATAGAATTATATTTATATAATTTTAAGTAGCAGAAGCAATTTTTTTATGGTTTATTATTAGCTTATAAGATTAATTTAATTCCCCTTTTTGTATTATTTAAGTAGCGAATATTTTGTTTCATCTCCCTAGTCTTTATGGTTATTCTTAAAAGAATCTTTTTATTTATATATTTTTTTCTTTTGCTGAGGCTTTTTGTAGTGCTTTAAAATATATAAACCAACAAGAATAGACAACACTAGAAATATATATATATATATATACATATATATATATATATATATATACTGGGCGCCCGGAAAATATTTACAGAGGAAATAATAATAGCTCAAAATAAAAAGGATTGCAAAAAAGTTTTAAATAACTATGGTTCGATTCCACTTAGATACATAGTTAGCAAGAAATTTTTTAAACCATACCTTATTTTTATTGAATTGGAATTGACAACTGAATAACTTCTTGGAATTATTATTAGTGTGTTCTTCATAAAGTTTTATATGAGTAAGTAAACGTTTTGGACGCCGTTTGCAGGGTTGATATTATCAGATTTTATCGCATGTTAATTACTATATTACTATATCGCTCAATTTATACGTTTAAGAATGTTGATCAACTTCAGAAACCGAAAATGTTTTAGCATCTGTGAAGGTTCCTAATTCTAAAGAATAAGTACTTATTAGAGGAGAGAGAAAATAGGTAATAATGGACTCACTGACTTTTATGAACACCGAGTTTCTTATATAAATACTGTTCCCCTAGCATAGCTTAGATTGGGAAAACAGTCATGAATTAGTTATGGAGAAGTCACTAAGTTTTCACTTAAATCAGTTCATCAACGGATCTTAATTCTCCAACAACATACCAGCTGTTACAACGTATTATGGAAGTGATTCTATCGTATCAGCACTTATACTGAATCTATCTATATAGATTTATATAAATAGTTCATCATAGCTAAGTATCTACAGTCATACAACATAGTATGGTGCGTGGTAGTTTCTTGATGCTTTCCCAAGAATCCTTAAGGAATGATGCATCATAAAAATTGAACTGCGGTTTTGAATTATAAAGTAATTGAGTTGAGAACTGCGATTATATATATATATATATATATATATATATATATATATATATATATATATATATATTACACATTTTTAGGTAATAATAATAATGATTACGGTATAATAATAATTACTTACGGTTGGACACATCTTGCATTGGTACTTCCTTCCAGAGCCGTTCTGGGTGACGACGTGGTGCTGTGCCTCCGCCTTGGGCAAGGGGTGAGGAACCAGGAGCATGGAGGCCGGCGGCGACGCAGAACTAGAGCCGGAGCTCTGGCTGCGGTACTGACCGCTACCGCCCCCGTTACCGTCCTCCAGGCCTGAAACACAACGCCAATGTGAGGATAACATAAAATATAATAAAAAAAAAAAAAAAAAGGTTTGTTTCGATAGTCCATATTTGTTAAGCTTATGTCCATATTTAAGCTAAATATTTAAATAATCACAATATATATATTAAAATGTATATACAGCTACTAAATATAAAATCATGTCTTATATGTTTAGAAGATTATATATATATAAAACCGAGGAGAGGTTAAACAAGAAGATTTTCATTAGGGTTATGGGATACAAGTTTAACCATGTATATACGGTACAAATAAAATAGGAAATACAGAGGCTTGGGATAACACGGGAATTATGTGAGGATAGAATAGAAGATTCAATTTTATTCTGAGACAAAGTCCCTTGAGAATAACAATATTGTACATAAAAATTAACATAATATCTGGCCAAAATGCATATTACAATAAAAAAAAAACACACAAAAAAAAACTAAAAAATAAGTAATAACAAAAGGATTTACATAGCTATACTGATATATTAAAGACATATATGAGCAATAACGTCCTAATTAGTGTTGCCTAAAATCGGTCTTGGTCTTGCACTCTGCAAAATTGATTTTTTGAATAAAAATTAAAGCAAAATAGTTACTAATACTTGACAATGTTAGTTACTATTTTGCATTTAATTCCTCTAATTTTTCATTCGGGCTTAGTTAGGTTCCTCCTATCTAAAAAATTGCAGTAATATCTTTATAGTAATAAGCTAATAAGTTACTGCAAAAACATTGCGAGACTCTTCCGCAAGGCCAAGACCATGCCCAACACTGAGTTTGCAAGACCAAGACTCGTCTCGATCTTGCATTTGGGTAATACTAGTCCTAATACTGCAAGATAGTTACTAAAAACAATAAACTATGGAATTTTAAGGGAAATTTGAAATGAACGACTAATTACTTTTGTTGTCATACCATTGTATTAATGAAAAAAATAATAATAAAAGAGGGGATAAATATTTACTTTAAATGATTTACATATGTACTTTAATATTTTGAAAGAATACAATAATAGTATTGTAAACATACAAGTCCTATATAATCTAAATCCTAAGATGTAGATTGATCGGTGAAAATAAAAGAAAATATACATATAGACGAGATTATATACATTTATAATATACATGATAAATGGCTACCCAGCGTCTAGGAAGGATAGGACAGAATACAAGAAATTCATGAAAAGTGCGGTGCATGTGGTGGACAGTAAGGAACTTCCGTCCAGGAGGAAGTGGGCGGAGGAGAGGAAGAAAAAATTTAGCGATATCCTCAAGCAGAGATGGGCAGAAAGGAAGAAATTGAAAAAGAAACCAGTATCATAGTCGCGTAGTCCTTCTGGGCTGTTTCGCGTCAGGAAAAAAAAAATAAATTAAAAAAAATATATATATATATAAAGCTTTTAGGCTGAAGCCCTCCTCAAAATTAAATCCCCTTAATTAGGGGAGGACTATAATTTGAAATATACTTCTAAGAACAGGCTAGTTTAAAAAAAAAATACTCTATTATAATATAAGTATTATATTATAAGTATATATAATGTAGATAATAATTTTTGTTCTGAAGATGAGGGAGAGACTCACGAGACATAAAAAATATATTTATGGTTTTAACTAATAAATTTCAATTTTTTTTTTACTTTTAAATGATTGAAGTACGTTCTGATGAAAACAAAAAGAACGAAATGAATAGATAAGTTTATGTTATTATTATAAGATTCGAAGAGAAAAATGGTTGGGATGATCTGTCAAAAAAGTAAATTTAAAAAGTATATTTATTATTACTATTTTTTTGACTGATCACCCCAACCATTCATCTCTTCAATTATTTACTACAGTCAACCAGCAATCCACAATTATTATGAGATTCCTTTAGATATTGTTAAAATATATAAAATATTAAATATATAAAATATGCTTTAATAAGGACAGTATGACATTTAAATAAAATCAATATTGTGTTGAAAGATGTGCTGTAGATACAATTTCCATTCCAGGACCTGTCCTTTATCCAACAGTTGAAACTTGTTCGCCTTTCCAGACCTAATCACTACCCACTCATTAGCTTATTTAGATATCGAATCCAGATATTAATTTAGGCCAATATATATATATATATATATATATATATATATATATATATATATATATATAAATGTTTCAATGGCAATCATTTATATTAAGCACTCATAATTGTAAGAGAGAGTTTTACACTATTAGAACTCAACACAAAAACAAATTTTTGCATAAACAAATATCTTCATAAATAATTTTTTGAAAAATAAACGATGCCAAACATTATTGATTTTGTTGCATAACTATTGATATACTAATTAAAGTTGTTGTTACATATAATATGTAGCATTAGTCGGTACGTGATTATAATTGGTAATATAGCATGGGAATATTTAAATGCATTTCATTTTTAGAGAGAAAGGGTTTAGAGAGAGAGAGAGAGAATCACTTTATTATCATAAAATAAAATAAAATGGTGCTGCCCAATTACATTGGGTTGCTAACAACACAGCATACTTATTAATCACTACAGACATTATTTAAAATTATTATACAATTATATAGGATTAACAATATGTATGAGCATAGTATACAATATTTTATACATATATATATATTATTATTATTTTTTTTCCCTTTTTTTTCTCCTTTTTTTTTTATATTTTTTACTATTTCTTTCATTCATTTATTATCATTCTGTACCCTTTCTCTTCCTTCTCTCCCCCAAGGGAGAATATTTTTAACTTTTAATAAAAGTTAAAAATATTGAGACGATTACAAAAAGATTGATTATTGAATGTAAAGGCACAAAACATGTACTAAAATTCCAATGCGCTGTATATTTATTAATAACGGTCCAAATTTGATGATTTTTTTTTTTTGACTTTTAGGAAATTTAACTTCGAAAAATATTAAGAAACCTCAAATTAAGGCCGTACAATGATAAAACCAGTTATGGTATAGGGCTGTGAGACCTGGACACTGACCTAGCAAAAAATAAAACATTTGTGCGAATAATCCTCTTTACGATAACCGGAGCGATGTGGATACAGATTACTGACACGTGGAGAAGAAAACACAATTATAGGTCAATCGATATTTCATTATATGAAGGCAATGAAGTTAAGATGGGCGAGACATGTAACTCGGGGAAGCCTCTATACAACAATGAATGGCACAATTCTAGGCAAAAGGCCATGTGAAAGGCCGAGGGTGCCCATCCCTCTCAAGGATGGTGGTGTATGTATAATCCCCCTCCTCCCAAGACATTTTATTTCTCCCCTCTTCTTAAAATAAGTGCAAGAGATAGTAGAATTAGTTAAGTCTTAGATATCGTTCCAATTTTAATTTATGTTAGAGTTGTAAATATCATAAACAAAAAAAAAAAAAAAAAAAAAACTTAGATCATATACAATTATACTTGATATGGATTTTTCCATGTTGTTCCCGAATTTGCAAATTTTTATACCAAAATTCCCTCTCCTGAAATTTGCCCTCCTCTAAAATTCAAAACCCCGTTAAAACGTGCCCCTCTCAACAATTTTGATCACGCATCTAAAGCCATGAAACTCCGTTCTTAAGATCCCTAGAAAAGCCAAAAACCAAATGGATAGATCGAATCGACAAAATAGTACTAAATGGAGATAACTGGAAAGAATTAATCCAGGATAGATAGGGACGGAATCGGTTGGCAAAAGACCAACAAGTGCTGTAATGTCAACTAAAAAAAAAAAAAAAGGAGGCAATTTAATTTCCTCTCAAATGATTATTAATTAATGTACATTATAAAATAAAATAAAAAATTAATCGAACAGTAATTATTGGTGACAGTTCTTCCGAGTCTTTTGTTGCTAGAAATACGTACTGTCGCTCGCTTTTTATGTAATAAAGACGAGCTCATCAGAGGCAGCGAATGGCAGGAGATGATCCTTAGGATTCTATTGGACGGTAGATAGAGAAAAGAAAATGGATTATTTCCTCATTTCAAGGTGGCTGTGGTTTTACTGCCCACGCAAATGGCGAGGATCAACTGTAAAGATCGATCTTCAACCAGTTTGCTCGCTATTTTATTGCCTAACAACAATCCCCTCAGCAATAAACTATTGTATAGTCAGCAGAACTCCAACAATATAGATTTTATTTTGCACTAAATAATTCTCTCACTGCACCAAAATGGTTTATATTTCGTTTATTGCTTTATACAGATCTCTAACTTATATGGAGTTATAGTTTAATTTTTTTACGATTACTGTTTCGCCATTTTTATTGATTTAAAAAGAAAATATATCAGTCTTTAGAAAACTAATACGTACCGAAAATGGTTTAACACTGAACTGTAAAAGTGTTTGGGTACCCTGATGATATCCCACGGCATAACGAATTAAATAAAAGAAAAAAAAACTAAGGTGTCTGCTTTAGACCACGCGACATAAGTGAAAACATAACATCAACAAAGCGAGATTAATAATATGAAATATAAATAATGGCTCATTATAGAGAGGATGAAATGCTGAACATTTCCCTTGCTTACAGTATGCAGGTTCGATTTCTAGTTTCTAGTTTCGTGGTAAAAGATACGGATATATAGGATCAACAAAGATGCTGCTGAAACTTGAAAGGAATAGCCCATAATCCGTGATTCAGGCCTCTTTTAATCAAATTGTTATCATCTACCTGAAACTTTGCAAATAGCTTCATCTCATCTTTACCTACAAATATTGTATTTAAGAAAATTCTCGGAATTGGGGCGTTTTCAATATGGAGGTCGGCAAACTTTATCTATTTAATTAGACACTAAACACTCGTAAATACCAATTTGCTTCGCACTTGGATCGCAAGATGATTTGATCATAAAGTAGATAAAAAAGGTGGCCTACAAAAATCTT